GAGCGGGTGCAGCTTGCAGGACTCGTACGCGATTGGCTGGAGGCCGTTCCCGAAATCCTGCAACAGTACTTCTCCCACAGCGATGTCACTTGCGTCAGTGACGAGCTCGAACGGACGGTGTGGATGTGCGAGGTGAAGCACGGGCGGTGAGCACAAAATGTTTTTGAGGGCCGAGAAGGCAGCTTGCTCTTTCTCCCCCCACGTGTACTCAACCCCCTTCCTCAGCAGGTCAGTCAACGGGGCAGTCAACTTCGCCATGTTGGGGACGAACCGGCGCACGTAGTTGACGAACCCCAGAAAACTCTGCAACTCGGTCAAGTTGGTCGGCGTGTGCCATGCTTGAATCGTCGCAATTTTCTTCGGGTCTATTTCCACTCATCCGGCTGAAATAACGTGTCCCGAAAACTCCAGGCGGTCCTGTAAAAACTCACACTTAGACGCTTTTTTCAGTAGTCGGTTCTCACTTAGGATTTTAAAAATTGCTTCAAAGTCATGTAAGTGCTGTGCTCTGTCAGTGTTGTAAATCAGTATGTCGTCCAGATATACTATGACACACTTATCTAAGAGCGGGCGGAACACTTCGTTCATGGTCATTTGAAAAGTGGCGGGGGCGTTGGTCAGTCCGAAGGGCATGACGGTGTATTCAAAGGATCCGTTGCGTGTTCGGAATGCGGTCTTAGGGCAGTCAGGCGGATTGACGCGGGTTTGGTGGTAACCCCCTCAGAGGTCGATTTTTGAAAAAACCCGGGCTGTGCGCAGTTGGTCGATCGGTTCGTCGGCTCGTGGGATGGGGTAACGGGATTTTATGGTAACCCTGTTCAGTGCTCGGTAGTCTATGCACATGCGAAAACCCCCGTCCTTTTTCGGTGTGAACATTATCGGTGCTGCGAAAGGCGACGAACTAGGGCGAATGAACTCCTTCTCGAGTAGGTAATCGAGCTGCTTCCTCAGTTCGTCTAGTTCGGGTTGGGTCAATCGAAACTGTCGCTATACTGTTGGCTGTGCCCCTGGTTCCAGTTCTATTCTGTGATCGTGCGGTCGCTGAGGTGGCAGTCCCGTCGGTAGGTCATCCGGGAAGATGTCACTGTACTGCTTCGGCAGTGCTGCCAGGTCACTCGGTATGTCGGCCAGCAGTTTCTGTAAATCCCCTCCCTTGTCTACTACCTCGGCTTCCCGAATGTCAACCGCGTACAAGTCAGCTCCGGTCGCTACAGCGCGTTTCATCGTGATCGCGTTGACACGCACCGACGAATACTCAGGCGAGCCCCAGCGAGGTAAGGCGATGTTGTTACCGTTCACTCGCACGGTGCAGTCACCCGTCGTCCAGTCGATTCGCGGATTGTGTCGTCGCAGCCAATCACGCCCGAGTAAAATGTCAGTTCTGTCGAGGGTCGTTGCGAGCATTTCCTGGCTAAACGTGAAGTTACTCCCGCATCGAATCCGAGCTCGGTCTACGCGTTCCCGAATTGCCAGCGGCGTGCCGTCTACCAGTCGTGCGTCGATCTTAGGTAAGCATTTGTCCAGTGGCAGTCGCAGTTTTCGTGCTGTAGCAGTGTTGATAAGGCTGTGGCTGGCTCCCCCGTCTACGACGTTCTTAACTGAGTCCGTCCCAATTTTCCGACTAAGCAGGGAACCGGCCGGGTGTGGTCGATTGCGGCGACGGTACTACGGTAGACAGGGTGTATCGATTGCGTGAACCGGCACAATCACTCGGTGAGGGTCGGTTGGGTCGGGCGAGCGGCGTGACCTGCCAGTAGAGGGCCCGTCTGCTACTGACTCCCAGCGTTTCCATGCTGATTGGTCTGTTTCTGCTGCTCAGCTTCCCCCTTTCCCTTAGCGTTTTCTGGGCATTCGCTCTTGCGATGTCCCGGCCGATTGCAAGCAAAGCAGCGCCCTTTGAACGGTGCGGCAGCGGCATTTGCGGCGACGGCGCATATCGTGGCGCCCTCGTTCGTCCCACGAGTCCGATGTCCCCAAGTGCTGCTTCCGTAGGACCCCGGTCTCGGTCGGCGGAAGAAATCGAGTTTCTCCGCCATAGCGAGAGTCTCTTGAAAATCGGTGACACCGCGAAGCTGGATTCCCTTAGCGATGTCCTGCTTCAGGCCGCCGATGGAGCGGTCGATGCGCTCGCCCCACTTGCTCGCATAGCGCTAGAAACCCGCTCGTGTAATCTTGGACGGAACCGAGTTGGCGCCAAGTGCGGAGCCTCTGTCGCGCCGCGATCGAAGCCGAAATTGGCTCAAATCGAGGGCGCAGACCTACGCACCACGCGTCCCACGTGCGATACTGGGGCACCTCCACGAAATACGACGGCGCCCAGGGTAGAGTCCTTCCCGTGCGGTTTGTCCTTCCCGTGTCGGTAGAGTCGCGTAGTCATTCGGCTTCATGACGATGACGCGCCACCAGTCCATGGCGGGTCCTCGCAGCAGCGACACGGCGTAGCGAATTTTCGCCGAGTCCTCCAAGACGTAGTTGGCATCGAAGAACACGTTCATCGTGAACAACCACGCCTGAACGGTCGGACCACCCCGTTGACTCGGGTCAAAGCATGGCAGACGCTGCGGATTCAGCGGCATCGGTGACGGCAGTCCCGAATCGTGGGTTGGTGCCGAGATCGTGACGCGGGTTTGACTTGGGGCCGAATACGTCGCTCCGGGGTGTGTCGTGCCGTGGTCGTCGTCTCCATCGGGGCGGACGACGCCATCACTGGCCGCGCTCGCGGGTTGCCCCACACTTCCGTGCTGTGATGTCGGTGGTGCGGGCTGAATCGGAGTGCCAACTGCTTGAGATTGTGCTCTCGTGAGGTCGTTTTGCAAGGATGAACGTTCCACCGTCAATGTCGCAATTTCTTCAGCGTTCTCGCGGATTTGTCGCAGCAGATCGTTCAAGTGCTCCTGCGTGAGGGTCGTGACATCGATGTGTTCGGCCATGTCGAAGGGCGTCGGCTCGTCTTAGTCTAGGTGCAGTCGTGGCTGCACGCGTTTACGAGAGAACGCGAGGACAGCGGCTCCTAGGTGCTAAGGTACGTGAGTCCCTTCGAGTGAAAAATCAAAAGTTGATTTCCTGGGGTGTGGAGATGCGTGGTCCGAAAAGGAAAGAGGCTCTGATAACCAAGTGTTTCGGGTGCAATGAATCGAGGTAGCGAGAATTGCACTAGGGTGTCAAACGAGCACAAAATGTGAGCGAAGGCATGAGCGAACATTTATACGCGTAACATGCAAACGGTAATGCGGTGCGTGCAAGCTAGCTAGTGCTACGCTGGAGCGAGGCTCGCGTTAGTCCCGAAGCGTAGGCCGACACGGCCAGGCCAGCAGTGCGAGGTTTGGTGAAACAGTGCGCGCGAAGTCGGCGAAGCCCCGTTAGCAGTAACGGGCGAACAACGGCTGGTGCTGTACGAGATGTAGTCGGGCTCCGTAAGGAATGCCGAGAAAATTCCTTACACACCCCCTTCTTTGTCGCGTGCCTTCCAAGGATTGACTTGGATAATTGTCCGTGCGACATTCGAACCACAGGTGCTGGTTCTGGTGGTGCCACTCAAGCCTTTGCGCTTGGTTCGATACTGGTTTGGTTTTGTGCAGGTTTCGCGTGATTCCTTTTCCTCGTCACAGACCAATTCGTGTCTCGCCAGCGAATCACATCTCCTCGACTCGGACCAAAGGTAATATGCTTGTAAATATGAGACCCGGGTTTTAATACCATGTCAAGAATGAGAAGTGATTGAACTATGGAAAGTTGGAGTACAAGTAGGAAACCCTAGCTTTGTGTACACCCTAAAGGCTAACCCACTATAGCCTATACAACAATAACACATATAGTGTTTGGCATAATGTAATAGCGGAAACGTTCAATGAGGGGTTTGTGAACCACCCTGCGCTGGTATGTGAGGGCAAAGTAGATTGATGAAAACAAAGAGATACAGGCTTCTATAAGAGTACAAGGAATACGAAGAGATACAATTAATAACCGTTTTGCTGTTGCTATTGCGGTTCGATACAGTAACGACTCGGGCAACTGCTCAATAGCGAGTCAGTTGTTTGTCCTTGCTGTCGCGATGTACTTGTCAAGTCAAAGGTCGCTGGCCTTTGAATTTCGCGTAACCTCTAGCAGTTGCTCAACCTCCGAGGGTTGCCTCGCTGATGCTTCTATATGTTTCGCTTCGCTTCTGACTCGGTGTTTCGACACAACAGAGGCGCTTAAGTTACTTGTTTCCAACAGATAACGTATGGCCCCGGATATAGGCGCCGTCCGATTAAAGGCGCCGGCGCTTCTATCTGGAGCATGGCGCCTATGGCCGGAATTCGATTAAAAGCACCCCCCCTAGAAAACCTTTACTTATTATAAGCGCATATGCGATTTGAATTTAAATTCTTGCCTAAAACAGTAACGAGATCCATTTTTGCAGCGAGTCAGATTTCAATTTCGCTTCGTTCGACTCGTGAAGACCTGACTGGCTGCGCGTCCAGTCAGGATGTGCTGGAATGACGTGGCTTTGCCTGTGTGTGAACCCAGAATATCGCTTGTGCGAGATTCTGCATTGTGACGCTAAAACATTTCGACTCGGTTGAAATGGGAAGAAGAAAATGAACAATTTGGTGGTCTAAAATTATTATTTCGTATTTGTCATTATATAAGCGCCGGCGCTTATGGCCGTTACTCAATTACAAGCGCCCCCCCTCAAAAAAATGATTTTATTATAAGCGCATATGCGCCTATATCCGGGGCCATACGGTAGGAGGTCAGATTGATACCGTAGGAGGATAGGAATGAGCCCTTAGAACTTGTACATTGTACTGTGCTTGGACGATAAAATCCTGTACTACCCAGTTGAAATGAGACGTTGCATTTGCAAGGCAAATCGCAAGTTTTCACAATCAGAGCGATTACCTTAGGAATGGACCAATTAGCATATTAGGGACAATGCTAAAAATCCAACTCTCATCGCTTCTGTATCCAGCCTAGTAAATAAGAAACACAGTGCCAAAACCAATGGCACAGTGCGCTTAGCTAAGCTTTCCCAATTCCATCTTTTTCTTGATAGCCTTGTGCCCATGGTAAACCACAGCATCTATTATCCCAGTCACAGTGAACACTCCTGCAAGCAAGGCAAGGTTCGCACAAGAGGAACATTCACTAGTGCGTACAAGCATTAAAATGCCAGCTCGTGATTTATGCTGAAACACAGCACCAATGATGTTTAAGAATAAGCGAACACATGAAGCTACTTGTGAATAAGCTTAGTCAATTTGAGCTGACTCACACAACCCCCTCGTCTGAGGGCCTCAAAGGCTGCATGTTTAGCCCACCACCACCACCACCCGATGCAATCTTTTAAAGAATATAAACAGTACGTGAAATATAGATTCTCACCTCCTATGATTGCGCAGACATTAGTGAGGAAGTGGAGGAAGGATGTGTTCTGCTCTGTGAAGCGAACCTGGTGCGTAAACAGAGGGGATGGATGTCAGGGTTTGTACTTCAAGACAAGAGTGAGGAAGTGGAGGAAGCATATGTGCTGCTCTGTGAATCTAACCTGGAGCGTGGGCCGGGAGGGGATGCAAATGCTTTGAGAAACGAGGATGCATGTCAGTGTTTATATGCAGAGTCACACAGCCATGACTCACGCCCAAGGAAGGGCAGGAAGGATATGTGCTGCTCTGTGGAGCGAACCTGGTGTGGGAGCAGAGGGGGGAGGGAGATGGATGTCAGCGTTTTTGTTCAGAAATATGAGCGAGGAAGTGGAAGAAGGATGTGTGCTGCTCTGTGGAGCGAACCTGGTGTGGGAGCAGAGGGGGGATAAATGTTAGACTTTGCATTTACAGCCAAAAGTGGGGACGCAAGTGACTCCTCATTCACATGCACAGACGTGAATACCAATATGCACAATCACATACATGCACATGGCACCAGTGAGGAGATGAAGGCTGTGGAACACATGCATGCAATGCAACCTTAGTGTGCTGCTCTGTGAAGCGAAACCCGGGAACTACAGACTGGGGTTGCATGCACATGACAACGGAAGAGACAGAGAGGGGAAATGTGCATGGTGGATGGTGATGAAGGTATGAGAAAGAGCAGACAGAGCACAGAGGAAGAAGACAAAAGAAGCTCGCACCTTGATGGGTGAGAGGTCGTAAAAGAAAAAAACGCCTGGCAGGCTGTGACCCATCTCTGACGGCCGGAAGTGCTCCGTCACTGAAAACTGGGGGAGGGAGAGGAAGAAAGGAGGAGGGACGAGTAGGTTGCATTGTGAGCCGAATGCATGTGTGGAGCAGCAAGGGAGGGAAGGAAGAAGACGTATACGCCTGGCAGGCTGCTGTGACCCATTTCTGACGGCCGGAAGTGCTCCGTCACTGAAAACTGGGGGAGGGAGGAAAGAGAGAGGAATGGGGTAGAGGGTGCATTGTGATTCGTGCATGCACGTGCAACCAAGGCAAGGAAAGGATACGGCTGGCAGGCTGTGAGCAATCCATGCAATATGTCTGGTGAGAAATCGGCTGGGCATTTCTGGGCAGAAACGCCCAGTCACTGAACCAAAAAAATGAACGGACGGCACTCGAAGAAAGTGACACGAACAAGAATTGAGGCAGGGCAAGGCAGGCTATGGGGGGCCCATCCCTGGTGCCCAGAAAAAGAGTTTTGAGATGGGGTACACATCCTTCCCCATTTGCTCAACATTTCCTTTATCACGTGGCAGGCAGGGTAGGCTAAGGGGAACCCATCTCTGATGCCCACAATCGCTCACTTCCCCTAAGATCCACCTCCCGTTTCCGCGTGCTTTGAAATGGCCAGTCACTTACAGGAAGGGGAAGGGCTACACCGGCCGTTTGTATCAAAAGAATTGGAAAAAGGAGATTACCTGGTTGGTTGAAATGGTGTGGTTTGAAACGTCCGTGTATAGGGTTGGCACGATCTGCATGTGGGCCGCCATTGAGTGAAGGAGAGGTGTGGTGGGAGGCAGAAGGGGATTGAGAAAGGAAGGATGTCTGGTTGGTAAAAAATGGTGTGGTTAGAGACTTCTGTGTAATGGTCTGGTTGCCACAATCTGGTTGTGCGAAGGGAGGGTGTGGAGTGGAGGGCAGGGGACGGGTATGCAGCACTGGCGCAAGGCAGGTGAGGGGGAAGGGAAGAGTGGGAAGAGTGGGACCAATCAAACCCCAAACAGGAGTCATGGTCTTTGCGTGGCAGCAGCAGCTTTTAGCAAACTGTTTGTTTAGTGTGTGTAGAGACTTGCTTTGAAAACCTTATGTAAAGGAATAATGGCGGTAACTAGTTTCGGCTCTTTGAGCCTTCTTCTGGTTGTACGAAGGGAGGGTGTGGAGTGGAGGGCAGGGGACGGGTATGCAGCACTGGCGCAAGGCAGGTGAGGGGGAAGGGAAGAGTGGGAAGAGTGGGACGGGGAGAAGACAGAAAGGGTAGCGATAAAGAAAGAGGCACCTCAGTGAAGCAACGACACAACGTCAGTGCACAACACAAGAAGTAACCTAATGACAATGATAAACTCTTACTTTGATAAAGCAGTACATGCCGGGATTTGAGTTGACGAAACAGGCAACCTCACCTTGATGAAGTATTGGTACATGAGTACCAATACTTCCTGTATCCATTTCCCCTTCTCGACCTGAGTGTGCAACGACATGGCTTTGAGTGGACTCTCCTGTCTCACCTTGATGAAGTACTGATACATGCCGGGGTCCTTCTCCTGTATCCATTTCACCCTTGCTTCGCAATGCAGGTGTGCATCGGAATGCTTCGAGTCAGCATTGATACATGCTGACTTAACAGGCACTCTCATCTCATCTCACCTTGATGAAGTACTGATACATGCCGGGGTCCTTCTCCTGTATCCATTTCACCCTGCCACACAAGCAGCCAACAGTGCAGCACACACACAAAGCCCTAGATGGCACATGAGAGCGCACAACCAGCTTTCAAGGCAACGTGGCTCACACAACCTTTAAAGCAGCATGAAATGCCAGCACATGACATCACATGAACCCCACCCACTACAAAAACCTCTCGAGTGGACTTTTGCGTCGACTCAAAAGTCAATCAACCACCTTTCAAGGCAACGTGGCTCACACAACCCATGAAGCAAAATTGCATGCCAGCACATCACATCATATCACATCACATCACTCAGACCCGCTTCAGAAACCTCTTTAATCTCACGTATTCCCATGAAATGAAGGCAGTCATTGACTAGCCACGCAGACCCCTCTACGTTGCTCACACAACCTTTAAAGCTTTGTACCAAACATCTTGTAAACACATACCCGTCTAGGGGGTTGACTAGGCCTGGAAACTTGGCTCCAAAGGAGAGCGAGTTGATCACATGCGATACCTGTAGTAGAAAGGGAAGCAGAAAGGGGGAGAGAGTGGAGGGGAAATATGGGCAGAGGCAGGTTGAAATAGGCATGGGCATCTGGCCCGACCCGGCCCGACCCGTCCCGTTTAGGGCGACCCGTTAGCTTAACGGGTCGGGTCGGGTCGGGTTAGCAGGTCGGGTTTGACTCTGTTTTGGTGACCCGACCCGCCCCGTTGGAACGGGTATTTGTGACCCGTAACCGGGTCGGTTACACCACGGGTCAAGTCGGGTCGGATCAAAATATGCTACATAGCAGCAGCGTATGGTGGCGCCTTGGCGCTGCTCCAGGTGGCGTTCGCGATGCTGGAGGTGGGGACCGCGATTCTGGCTGGTGGCGTTCGCGCTACTGCAAGGCCGCTATCGCGCTATTGCGGGGATGCGATCCCGCCAATGCGTGGCTGCGATCGCGCTGCCCTAATCTGGTGCCGCGATCGCGCATATGCGGGGCCGCGATCGGTTGCGCAAATGCGGGGCCGAGATCGCGCTATTGCGGGGACACGATCCCGCCAATGCGTGGCCGCGAGTGCGCTGCTGCGCCCCTGGTCATGCGACACTGCGTAATGGCAGGAGCGCCTATGCCTATAATGAATATAAATATTAAAATAGTGCTAACATTGAAGTGAAGACTGTAAGAGTTTTGGTAGGTGCAGTGGAGATTTACTAACTTGATTAGAGACTGGATCTGAATGTCGAGGGAAACAAAACATCAAAACCAACTGATGTTTTCCCCCTCTCCAAATTGTACCCTAAGCAGAGAACGGGTCGGGTAACCCTGTCATTTGACTGGGTATGCGACCCGGACGGGACGGGTCAACCCGACCCGGCGGGTCGCTGATACCTGTCTATAAGTCACATTGACGGGTCACGGGTCGACCCGACCCGCCCGGGTAAACCCGACCCGACCCGGACAGGTCGACATTCTCAGCATTCCTGACCCGACCCGCCATTTTAGGCGGGTCGGGTCGGGTAACCCGACCCGTCCGGGCCAAATGCCCATCCCTAGGTTGAAAGCAGCTCCAGGTGCGTACCCCTCTTGGGGGTTGACTAGTCCTGGAAACTTGGCTCCAAAAAAGCTGAGGAAATTATATGAGACACATGTTGTAGAAAGGAAAGGAGGGTGGAGAGGAAAGGGTCACACACAATAAGGGTCGTGGTATGGTATTGACTTACGATAAGGGTCACACACAATAAGGGTCGTGGTATGGTATTGACTTACAATAAGGGTCACACACAATAAGGGTCGTGGTATGGTATTGACTTACGATAAGGGTCACACACAATAAGGGTCGTGGTATGGAATTGACTTACGATAAGGGTCACACACAATAAGGGTCGTGGTATGGTATTGACTTACGATAAGTGTCACACACAATAAGAGTCATGGTACGGTACTGGCTTACATTGAACGTCATGTGCTGGATGGGCATGAGATCATGCACGTGCAAGCCTCCCAAAGCAGAACAGGGAAGCGAATCTCACATGTCAATCCTCTTTCCTTTCCTTATGACGCATGCGCCTTACATGAGCCTCACGTGAACCTCACATTGAACGTCATGTGCTGGAAGGGCATGAGGTCATGCACGTGCAAGCCTCCCTGCTGAAAGCTCTTCCCCGGCGCAAAGTGGAAGTTCCCTGCCACCTTGTTCACCTGCACATGAGGGGGCGGTGAAGGGGGGGAGGTCGCATATAGAGAAGGGAGGGCGAAGCAATGAGTGACAGCACAAGGAGGAGGAGTGCACTGGGTAGATGGGTGCAAACAAGCCTCCCTGCTGAAAGCTCTTCCCCGGTGCAAAGTGGAAGTTCCCTGCCACCTTGTTCACCTGCACGTGTGGTGATCGGGGGAAGGAGGGGACAAGGAGTGTAACAGTAGTACTGCCACTGATGGGTGTGCCTTGTAAGCCTATCTTCCCCGGTGCAAAGTGGAAACTCCCTGCCACCTTGTTCACTTGCATCTGTGAAGCAGGCAGGAGCAGGAGGGGAGGGGGTCGCAGGCAGAAGAGAGAGGCTGCATGCATAGGCGAGGAGAGGGGATCGCGGACAAGGAGGGACAAGGAGTGCGGCACCGGGAGGAAGGAGGATGAGTGGACATCAGGTGGGTGCAAGCTCCCTGCTGGAAGCTCCCTGCTGGAAGCTCCCTGCTGGAAGCTCCCTGCTGGAAGCTCCCTGCTGGAAGCTCCCTGCTGGAAGCTCCCTGCTGGAAGCTCCCTGCTGGAAGCTCCCTGCTGGAAGCTCCCTGCTGGAAGCTCCCTGCTGGAAGCTCCCTGCTGGAAGCTCCGTGCTGGAAGCTCCGTGCTGGAAGCTCCCTGCTGGAAGCTCCCTGCTGGAAGCTCCGTGCTGGAAGCTCCGTGCTGGAAGCTCCGTGCTGGAAGCTCCCTGCTGGAAGCTCCCTGCTGGAAGCTCCCTGCTGGAAGCTCCCTGCTGGAAGCTCCCTGCTGGAAGCTCCCTGCTGGAAGCTCCCTGCTGAAAGCTCCCTGCTGGAAGCTCCCTGCTGGAAGCTCCGTGCTGGAAGCTCCCTGCTGGAAGCTCCGTGCTGGAAGCTCCCTGCTGGAAGCTCCCTGCTGGAAGCTCCCTGCTGGAGGCTCCCTGCTGGAAGCTCCCTGCTGGAAGCTCCGTGCTGGAAGCTCCCTGCTGGAAGCTCCGTGCTGGAAGCTCCCTGCTGGAAGCTCCGTGCTGGAAGCTCCGTGCTGGAAGCTCCGTGCTGGAAGCTCCGTGCTGGAAGCTCCGTGCTGGAAGCTCCGTGCTGGAAGCTCCCTGGAAGCTCCGTGCTGGAAGCTCCGTGCTGGAAGCTCCCTGCTGGAAGCTCCCTGCTGGAAGCTCCCTGCTGGAAGCTCCCTGCTGGAAGCTCCCTGCTGGAAGCTCCGTGCTGGAAGCTACCTGCTGGAAGCTCCCTGCTGGAAGCTCCCTGCTGGAAGCTCCCTGCTGGAAGCTCCCTGCTGGAAGCTCCCTGCTGGAAGCTCCCTGCTGGAAGCTCCCTGCTGGAAGCTCCCTGCTGGAAGCTCTCCTGCTGGAAGCTCCGTGCTGGAAGCTCCGTGCTGGAAGCTCCGTGCTGGAAGCTCCCTGCTGGAAGCTCCCTGCTGGAAGCTCCCTGCTGGAAGCTCCCTGCTGGAAGCTCCCTGCTGGAAGCTCCCTGCTGGAAGCTCCCTGCTGAAAGCTCCCTGCTGGAAGCTCCCTGCTGGAAGCTCCGTGCTGGAAGCTCCCTGCTGGAAGCTCCGTGCTGGAAGCTCCCTGCTGGAAGCTCCCTGCTGGAAGCTCCCTGCTGGAAGCTCCCTGCTGGAAGCTCGCTGCTGGAAGCTCCGTGCTGGAAGCTCCGTGCTGGAAGCTCCCTGCTGGAAGCTCCCTGCTGGAAGCTCCGTGCTGGAAGCTCCGTGCTGGAAGCTCCGTGCTGGAAGCTCCCTGCTGGAAGCTCCCTGCTGGAAGCTCCCTGCTGGAAGCTCCCTGCTGGAAGCTCCCTGCTGGAAGCTCCCTGCTGGAAGCTCCCTGCTGAAAGCTCCCTGCTGGAAGCTCCCTGCTGGAAGCTCCGTGCTGGAAGCTCCCTGCTGGAAGCTCCGTGCTGGAAGCTCCCTGCTGGAAGCTCCCTGCTGGAAGCTCCCTGCTGGAAGCTCCCTGCTGGAAGCTACCTGCTGGAAGCTCCCTGCTGGAAGCTCCCTGCTGGAAGCTCCCTGCTGGAAGCTCCCTGCTGGAAGCTCCCTGCTGGAAGCTCCCTGCTGGAAGCTCCCTGCTGAAAGCTCCGTGCTGGAAGCTCCCTGCTGGAAGCTCCGTGCTGAAAGCTCCCTGCTGGAAGCTCCCTGCTGGAAGCTCCCTGCTGGAAGCTCCGTGCTGGAAGCTCCCTGCTGGAAGCTCCCTGCTGGAAGCTCCCTGCTGGAAGCTCCGTGCTGGAAGCTCCCTGCTGGAAGCTCCGTGCTGGAAGCTCCCTGCTGGAAGCTCCGTGCTGGAAGCTCCGTGCTGGAAGCTCCCTGCTGGAAGCTCCCTGCTGGAAGCTCCCTGCTGGAAGCTCCCTGCTGGAAGCTCCCTGCTGGAAGCTCCCTGCTGGAAGCTCCCTGCTGGAAGCTCCGTGCTGGAAGCTCCCTGCTGGAAGCTCCGTGCTGGAAGCTCCCTGCTGGAAGCTCCCTGCTGGAAGCTCCCTGCTGGAAGCTCCGTGCTGGAAGCTCCGTGCTGGAAGCTCCCTGCTGGAAGCTCCCTGCTGGAAGCTCCCTACTGGAAGCTCCCTGCTGGAAGCTCCCTGCTGGAAGCTCCCTGCTGGAAGCTCCCTGCTGGAAGCTCCCTGCTGGAAGCTCCCTGCTGGAAGCTACCTGCTGGAAGCTCCCTGCTGGAAGCTCCCTGCTGGAAGCTCCGTGCTGGAAGCTCCCTGCTGGAAGCTCCCTGCTGGAAGCTCCCTGCTGGAAGCTCCCTGCTGGAAGCTCCCTGCTGGAAGCTCCCTGCTGGAAGCTCCCTGCTGGAAGCTCCCTGCTGAAAGCTCCGTGCTGGAAGCTCCCTGCTGGAAGCTCCGTGCTGAAAGCTCCCTGCTGGAAGCTCCCTGCTGGAAGCTCCCTGCTGGAAGCTCCGTGCTGGAAGCTCCCTGCTGGAAGCTCCCTGCTGGAAGCTCCCTGCTGGAAGCTCCCTGCTGGAAGCTCCCTGCTGGAAGCTCCGTGCTGGAAGCTCCCTGCTGGAAGCTCCGTGGTGGAAGCTCCGTGCTGGAAGCTCCCTGCTGGAAGCTCCCTGCTGGAAGCTCCCTGCTGGAAGCTCCCTGCTGGAAGCTCCCTGCTGGAAGCTCCGTGCTGGAAGCTCCCTGCTGGAAGCTCCCTGCTGGAAGCTCCCTGCTGAAAGCTCCGTGCTGGAAGCTCCCTGCTGGAAGCTCCGTGCTGAAAGCTCCGTGCTGGAAGCTCCCTGCTGGGAGCTCCCTGCTGGAAGCTCCCTGCTGGAAGCTCCCTGCTGGAAGCTCCCTGCTGGAAGCTCCGTGCTGGAAGACTCCCTGCTGGAAGCTCCCTGCTGGAAGCTCCCTGCTGGAAGCTCCCTGCTGGAAGCTCCCTGCTGGAAGCTCCCTGCTGGAAGCTCCCTGCTGGAAGCTCCCTGCTGGAAGCTCCCTGCTGGAAGCTCCCTGCTGGAAGCTCCCTGCTGGAAGCTCCCTGCTGGAAGCTCCGTGCTGGAAGCTCCCTGCTGGAAGCTCCCTGCTGGAAGCTCCCTGCTGGAAGCTCCCTGCTGGAAGCTCCCTGCTGGAAGCTCCCTGCTGGAAGCTCCCTGCTGGAAGCTCCCTGCTGGAAGCTCCCTGCTGGAAGCTCCCTGCTGGAAGCTCCCTGCTGGAAGCTCCCTGCTGGAAGCTCCCTGCTCGAAGCTCCCTGCTCGAAGCTCCCTGCTGGAAGCTCCCTGCTGGAAGCTCTGTGCTGGAAGCTCCGTGCTGGAAGCTCCCTGCTGGGAGCTCTGTGCTGGAAGCTCCCTGCTGGAAGCTCCCTGCTGGAAGCTCCGTGCTGGAAGCTCCGTGCTGGAAGCTCCGTGCTGGAAGCTCCCTGCTGGAAGCTCCCTGCTGGAAGCTCCCTGCTGGAAGCTCCCTGCTGGAAGCTCCCTGCTGGAAGCTCCCTGCTGGAAGCTCCCTGCTGGAAGCTCCCTGCTGGAAGCTCCCTGCTGGAAGCTACCTGCTGGAAGCTCCCTGCTGGAAGCTCCCTGCTGGAAGCTACCTGCTGGAAGCTCCCTGCTGGAAGCTCCCTGCTGGAAGCTCCGTGCTGGAAGCTCCCTGCTGGAAGCTCCCTGCTGGAAGCTCCCTGCTGGAAGCTCCCTGCTGGAAGCTCCCTGCTGGAAGCTCCCTGCTGGAAGCTCCCTGCTGGAAGCTCCCTGCTGGAAGCTCCCTGCTGGAAGCTCCCTGCTGGAAGCTCCCTGCTGGAAGCTCCCTGCTGGAAGCTCCCTGCTGGAAGCTCCCTGCTGGAAGCTCCCTGCTGGAAGCTCCCTGCTGGAAGCTCCCTGCTGGAAGCTCCCTGCTGGAAGCTCCCTGCTGGAAGCTCCCTGCTGGAAGCTCCCTGCTGGAAGCTCCCTGCTGGAAGCTCCCTGCTGGAAGCTCCCTGCTGGAAGCTCCCTGCTGGAAGCTCCGTGCTGGAAGCTCCCTGCTGGAAGCTCCCTGCTGGAAGCTCCCTGCTGGAAGCTCCCTGCTGGAAGCTCCCTGCTGGAAGCTCCCTGCTGGAAGCTCCCTGCTGGAAGCTCCGTGCTGGAAGCTCCTTGCTGGAAGCTCCCTGCTGGAAGCTCCCTGCTGGAAGCTCCCTGCTGGAAGCTCCCTGCTGGAAGCTCCCTGCTGGAAGCTCCCTGCTGGAAGCTCCCTGCTGGAAGCTCCGTGCTGGAAGCTCCCTGCTGGAAGCTCCCTGCTGGAAGCTCCCTGCTGGAAGCTCCCTGCTGGAAGCTCCCTGCTGGAAGCTCCCTGCTGGAAGCTCCGTGCTGGAAGCTCCCTGCTGGAAGCTCCGTGCTGGAAGCTCCCTGCTTGAAGCTCCCTGCTGGAAGCTCCCTGCTGGAAGCTCCGTGCTGGAAGCTCCGTGCTGGAAGCTCCGTGCTGGAAGCTCCCTGCTGGAAGCTCCCTGCTGGAAGCTCCCTGCTGGAAGCTCCCTGCTGGAAGCTCCCTGCTGGAAGCTCCCTGCTGGAAGCTCCCTGCTGGAAGCTCCCTGCTGGAAGCTCCCTGCTGGAAGCTCCCTGCTG